TAAAAAACCTATCTATTCCAAAGTAAATATGATACAAGTTACTAAAAAACCTATCCATTCCAAAGTAAATATGATACAAGTTACTAAAAAAACCTATCCATTCCAAAGTAAATATGATACAAGTTACTAAAAAAACCTATCCATTCCAAAGTAAATATGATACAAGTTACTAAAAAACGTATCCATTTCAAAATAAGTATTTTCAACTGATGTAATCATGTGTGTGTGTGTGTCATGGTTACACTGAGGTTCATTCATGGAAAAATCCACATGCCAACTTTAGTCAAATGTCAAAAGTGTTGATAGGTGAACCAATCTTCCACTAAATTCTCACCTGAGAGGATCGTAGCAAAGACACTTGCTTCTGTAATGAAATGTTCTCATCTTCCAGTTCATTATTATCTATTAAAAGTCTTCCTTCTCTTAATTTTATTTCCTTGAGCTCTAACTTCAAATTTTTCTTTTCCCACTCACTGACTTCAATTTGTTTGGACAGATCTAGATAATCCTGATGGATACGATCCCTCTCCGCTTCTACTCTAGCCAGTTCTTGCTTCACCTGTGTGTATAAAATTGGGAATTTTGTCAATTAACCACACACAATTTACAAAAGTTATGTTATCACACACCGAATCCATTAAATTGCACGATATTTGTAGATTTCTGACTCATAACGATAAATTAAACATCAAACAGCTGCAACGAAATAATTGGTATGGAAATTGTTTTAGAAATAGCCTCGTAAATTTTTTACAGGTGCTTTTTTTTTTCACTCGGGTTACTTAACTAATTATAGTTCTCCACTCGGCTGTTGAGCTTTTGCAATAACATGTGAAATCAATGAAAAAAAAAACTATACTGTTAATCATGACGTTCAACTGAAAGTTTGATTTAGCACTTTGATTTGATTTAAACAGTAATCAACCATAAAATACTTAAAATACTTTGTGACTTTTCAACTATAAATTAAACTCTTGACTAACCACTATAATAGTGTTTTCTATCTCATGAATTTCTTTCACACAGTGCCATCGAAACACCTCATGGGCCAAGGATTTACCCCCAGTAAAATATGCATCTGGACGTGGCCCTACGTTTTCTAAAGCAGTTAGTAGATTTATACAGTTAATGAATTCATCAATAATTTGCATTTAAATACAATTCTACTGACAAATTTGTAGTTCAGTTACAATTTCTCCTAGGGGAGGACCCCCAGATCCTCTTATACTTTAAATAATACTGACAGTTCTGTTCATATTGTTGAATAACAAATAACATCTTGAGCATCCTTCACTTTATAGAATAACGTTACATGAAAGACCTTATTGAAGAGTTTCTAATCACAATTTCTAAGATAACAAAAAATTAAAACAACAAAAACATCAAGTTTCTTCTGGTTTAAAAACAAGAGGAATTTTATACTTAATATGTAACTGTACTTTTACTATTTTTTTTCTGGTGTGTAACTTTATTTATGAGGAATTTTATACTTAATATAGTAAAAGTACAGTTACAATAAAGTTACACACCAGAAAAAACAAATAGGAATTTTATACTTAATATAGTAAAAGTACAGTTACAATAAAGTTACACACCAGAAAAAAACAAATAGGAATTTTATACTTAATATAGTAAAAGTACAGTTACAATAAAGTTACACACCAGAAAAAACAAATAGGAATTTCATACTTAATATAGTAAAAGTACAGTTACAATAAAGTTACACACCAGAAAAAACATAAATAGGAATTTTATACTTAATATAGTAAAAGTACAGTTACAATAAAGTTACACACCAGAAAAACAATAGGAATTTCATACTCAATATAGTAAAAGTACAGTTACAATAAAGTTACACACCAGAAAAAACAAATAGGAATTTTATACTTAATATAGTAAAAGTACAGTTACAGTAAAGTTACACACCAGAAAAAACATAAATAGGAATTTCTCTGGACAAAAATAAAAACAAAACTTAATTCCATAAAAAATATGAGGTTATCAAACTATACTGTTTGCAATAATACATTCGAAAGTGAGAGTAACATTAACCTGAAAATGTTGACAGTTGTTAGTCTGTCCAGTAGAAAAAAATCTCCGATAACTGACAAAAAATTCAATCTTAATTTTCACACCGAAAAATATGAAAATTCAATAAAATATTAGAATATAGAGAAAGCCTTACAAAAACAGGACCTATGACAACCTAAAGATCCTACTATTCCATGACAGCAGGTTAAAGTGGAACTTGTACAGTATTTACAAAATATATTTCATTCCTTCTATATAGTATACGTGTGTTTGTATACCAACATGCATTTTCTTCTTATATTACTAGACTTTAAACTACTATATTGAAATTATTAAAACAGGTCAAGAGTGTAATGAAATCATCTCAGCTTACGGGCATGTTCTTTGTTATTCAGAGAAAGTAATACAAGAAGTAAAGACATTCATCCACTCACAAAGACTGTCTGTATAAAAATGTTAAGGTACATTATTCAAAATTGTGTAAAAAGTTTTTCCTACAAAGTTTCATTTTTGTCAAGTTTTTCAACATCATTCATAAGTTTCCAAGCACAGCCAAGCTATCAAAGAAGATAAAGCTGAAGACACAATTTAATTACTTGTTTTATTTCACGTTCTAATTCTTGAAGCGTTGAGGTGAAAGAAGCTTCTTTATGGGCCGTTTCTTTTAGAAGATTTTCTTCTTGTTCGATGCCAGTTGTTGCCGACACCTTCTGACTTGTTTGAGACTTGGCAAGTGCCTGTAAAATAAGAGTTACACAGCATGTACATAAAGAACAACAAAGAAAATTAATATGTTCCTTGTTTTTCTATGGAAGGTTTCTATATTCTGATAGATTTGCCAAGAAGTTTAAAAACAGTTTTTTTATTTGCAAAGAGAAAGTTTTGATTGTCCATCCCATAATATTTCTTGAGCTGCAGGCCTCACTTTTGGTAATAAGTATAACCTGAAGAATGTTGTATTACACACAGTCACGATAGCTACTTTCAGTTACCTGAAAAGTATTATTTAAACGACTTTAGATATTAAAATAATTTTCATGTAGCATTTATGAATTTAACATATGATTTATTTTTGATAAAACCCGGAGAGGTACATTCTCTGCAAGAATGATGGCTCCTGGCTTAACCTGAGTTACTGAAAGTTGATGTTATTCATCTAATTTGGTACTTTTTTCAATGTTTTTAAGTATCACAGTATAAACACTTTTTTCTTGAGAAAGTACTTGATAGAAATTCTTAAAAAGACAAAATTTTTTTGATTTAGAGTTGTCAGGAAGGCACTGCTCTTAATATATACAAATAAACACAGTTAGTTTTACATCTTTGTTTTTGTTCCACAACTTTCCATCATCAAGATAACGAATAACTTAGTCACATGTTCACTAATCTCTTTCATTTTTTTTAAATTATGGTACTTCAGAATGGCCTACAACACCATTTTTTTAATGGTTCCACGTATAACAGCAATAAAAATGTGTAAAAATATTATTAGGGAGAATAACATTTAATGTAAAACAAATGGTTTGGGTAAGTAAAAAAAACCCTTTCCTATCTTATTTTGTGAATAATAATGAATTTATTTTTTTACCAAAACTGTAAAATGGTACTTTATGCAACAAACATTATATAAAGTAAACAACATGGATTGTTGGTGACAAATATTTTTTTGCTATAGTAAACAATTTTTTTCTTAAAAGAACCCATCTTAATATTAACAATTCAAATGGTTTATTGAAGCTGCTAAACTAACATAATGAAAATAAACAATCTTTTGTCAATTTGAAATATACAAAGTGTATTTTACTCTACCCTAAACCTACAGAAAATCTTATAAAGATGAAAGTGCACAAGACCAAATTCCTCGTGAAGTTGACAGAGAAAAGTCAATTATGAGTTTTGGCCCTGATTGAAGTATGTGCCACTTAACCCTGATTGAAGTATGTGTCACCTAACCCTGATTGAACCCTGATTAAAGTATGTGTCACAACACATACTTCAATCAGGGTTAAGTGACACATACTTTAATCAGGGTTAAGTGACACATACTTTAATCAGGGTTAA